TTTCCGTATTATCATATTCGTACTAATTTTTTTTTTTTTTTTAACTTTAAAATTATAATTAAGAATTATCGCTTATTAAATTCTTCCATTTGCTAACAATAATAATAATTAACAAATTAATCATTCAATAAAAGTTGGTCATTTAATCTTTTCCGATTATCTCTTGGATATATAACAGTTGGAATTAAATTAAATTCAAGAATGCAACAGTTGAAAATTGTACGAAGAGTTTTAAAAAAATTATATAAGAGCTATAAATGAATGCTTGAATTTTAATTAAAATATAATAGTTTAAAATTCTAAATTAAAATTGAATTGATAAAAAATCTTACGAATAGACAAAATCGATTTTGTCATTTCTTTTGCTAACGATATATTTTTGAATTTTTTTGTGGAATAATTCCCATTTATTGAATTATTGGATATGATTGATGATTTTGATGGGATGAAATATCGTTTCATATAATAACGAATCTTCTCGGCTGCTTTAATTAATTCAGGAAGTTTGTAAAATTGTGCTTCATAAATGATTAAGCTCAATTTATAATCATCAATTGGTAAAGGATAGCTTTTACCATGACGTAAATAACCGAGAATTATGGGAAATACATCATTATTACGATCGATAAATAAATGACCATCCTGAAAATTTAGATTGTAAAAACTAATTAATTATATGCATATTTCTGCGATAATATATCTTTAGTGTCTTTTTTTTTTTAGCTTTAAAAAATAAGCCATAGGTTGATTTTATTTGAAATTAAAATTAAAGCATCATTAATTAGTTTGTATTTTATTGAAATTTATGAAAATCAATATGATATAAAATATCAATAGATATCATAAAATGAATTTCCGATACCATATTGAATTTATAGCAAATAAATTTCATATAAATTAAATTATTCGATAAATATTGTTCTAAGAGAGATAATTGCAAGAAACTGAATCATTTTAAAGATTAAAATTTTAAAAATTTTGGTGTTGCTTTTTTTTACTGAAATAATTTCTAATTTTATTAATTTTGAAAAACAATAATTAGCGCTGATTCATTTTTTTTCTTTTTTTTACACTAAACTATTAATGATTAACAATAAGATTTTAAATTTGAATTTACAAAAAAAAAGAAAATTAAAAAAAAAAAAACAAATTACCGAATCCAATAAATGATTCCATTTTGTAGTAAATAATTGTTGAAAATAGGAACCATCAATTGAAGTGAGTGTTGTTAATTCGGTTTTAAATAAACGTCCACCAACATTCAAAATAATACATTGCTTATCCATTTAATTTTTTACTCATATCTATTATAAAATTAAATTTAATTTTGATCAAATTTCTTTTCAACTTTTTTTTTTTAAACTAAGATTTTCATATTTATTAAAATTAGCGTAAAATTGAAACAAAAAAAAAACCAATTTCATTTTAAATATAATATATTTTGCATAAGTAACAAGTCTACTACAGCTATATTTTAATGATAGTATGAAAAGAAAAAGAGATCAATGATAACAAAATTTTTTCAGAATGACTGATAAAATTTAACTGTATGCGTTAGTTATTGATAAATTTCAATTACCATCATTTATTAATGATTGTAAAAATTTAACTGTATTTTAGTTACTGATAAATTTCAATTACTATGATTTATGATTGATAAAATGACTGATAAAATTTAACTGTATGCCAGTTACTGGTAAACTCCAGTTACCATGATTTATTAATGATTGATAAAATTTAACTGCATTTTAGTTACTGATAAATTTCAATTACAATGTTTTATTAATGATTAATAAAATCTAATTGTATGTTAGTTACTAATAAACTTCAATTACTATCATTTATTTTAAAGATTGTGAAGGAAATTTCAAAAATTTAACAAATCCTAAATAACACATAAAATTTTTTCATTATCGTTTAAAAAAAATTGGAAAAAAAATTGTGACACATTCAAATAAATTTTAAATGCTATGAAAAATTTCCTAAATATTTCAATGTTTAAACAATTATTTTAAACTAGAAAAGTAGAGGAAAATGATTTATTGTTGAAATTTTTGGTGACATAAATGACAATATAGGCAAAGATGGCGTGCTTAGGTAAACTTCTCAACCAATCAAACTAATACCCTCTCAATTTAAACCCGTCTTTCGAAGGTAAACATTACCATAGATTGACTCATACCGTTTTTGTTCATTTCATTGCTTATGGAAAAATAAATAGTGAAGTTAGCATTTTGTAAAGTTTTGGGGATTATTAACCAACTATATATGATATTAACATTAATAATAACATATTCTAGCTAATATTATCAATAAAAGGTGACATGTCACGTTAAATTCTTTCTATCCAATGCAATCATATCACGTCGAATCATTTCTATCCAATGAAATATATATATATGTATATATTCCATTGTTGGAAATTCCTAAAATGCTACATGTTAGGTTAATTAGCAAATAAATTAGTAAGATTGATTGATCAATAAACAAATTAGCAAGATTGGTTGATCAATAAACAAATTAGTAAGATTGATTGATCAATAAACAAATTAGTAAGATTGATTGATCAATAAACAAATTAGCAAGATTGGTTGATCAATAAACAAATTAGCAAGATTGATTGATCAATAAACAAATTAGCAAGATTGGTTGATCAATAAACAAATTAGTAAGATTGATTGATCAATAACCTTTTGATTAATAGACAAACTGATTGATTAATTAAATTCGATGCAGCTTTCCACTTTTTTTTTTTATAAAATAAAACTTTGACAAATATGGTTTAAAAAGTTTTTCTTCCTTTTTTACTAGAAATAGTTTTTTGAAACTTAACTTTGATAATAAATTCTTTCGCAAAAAATTAATTAATTTAAAAGTTAATTAGTTTAAAACATCCGAAAAGAACGATTTTTATTTCAATATAATTTGTTGACAAATGAAAATACATTTGGATATAGTAATTCAACCACTTTGCATATCTCAATCATTAATGGTAAAATTTGTATTTTCAATTTTCCTTCGAATATTTAATTAGGCATTCTTACTCTAAGAGAATGGTAATTTTCAGTTTTTTGAATGTTTTTTGAATTCAAAACATAAATTTGAAATATTTCAACATTTTAATTATATGATTATCAGAAATGATATATTCATCGACGATCCAACATCTTATGAGCTTTGCAAAATTTACATTGTTTCTATTCCATTTCCATTATTTCTATTCTTAAGTTTTAGTTTCATGCAAATTTTTTCAAATTGGATGTTAATAATTGTGAAATCAATGACTAAGGATCAATGTATACACTATGAGATATCAGTAATTAGTGAATAGTGTGAAAGTATGATATCAATGATAGCAAATTATCATGAACTTCATTGATAAAGTGATCAGTATATCGTTGAAAGTTTTTAAATGTATTTAAGAAAATTTCTAAACTGATCGTATTTCTTATTAATAATTCCTGCGTTACCAGTTTCGGTAAGTACATAAGAAACAGATAAGAAAATAAAATGGTAGATATTGTTATATTCAAGTACTTATGAGACTATGTTGGATAAAGAGATTGATGAGAATTACTGGATGTACAGAATGATGAGAACTTTGAGAGTACACTGTTAAAGATTGAAAAAAAAAGATAGATAGTGGTTACTAGTAATTTTACATACTAAGTGAAGACTGTGAAGGAGAAAAAAAGAGTATTTGTCAGTAAGAAGTGCAGAGAATGCGAACAGGAAGAGAAGAGTATTTGTTAGTGAGAGATGCAGAGATTGATAAACTTTATATCATGTGGAAATCGGGTTAGTAAGACGAAAAGAGTATGCATTAGTGATGTAATGCAGAGATTGATAAGAATTGCGAAATGGAGTGCTGTTAGAGATTATGAAGATGGTTGAGTGATAATTATATGACTGAGAGGATTGAGAGTGAGGGATATTTTTGGATGTAGAGGATAGAGGGATTGGTAATGTTAGAAATTCGGAAAATGGTTAAATAGTTGTAAGTAAACTTTTTCAGCTATCTGAAAAACTGAAATAGAAAGAGAGTTGTGTATGATGAGATGTAAAGATTGATAAGAATTATGAGAGGTGGGAAAAAAAAGATGGTTACGAAGAAGGAGATACAGATATTAATAAGAATTCCAAGAGAAATTTAAAAATAGGATTAAGCGTTTCTTTTTTTTTTTCCATTGATTACATATATATAAATCCATGGAATTACTATTACTTTCATTATCATCTTAATTTTATTTTTTACTATACAATTTGATAGTTCAGAGATATGAGGTTATTGGAACAGTGAATGGATTCTAAACTGGCGAAATTGTCATCAGTTCGTTGTTTTGGCGGTTATCAACGAATCTTCTCACATTACAGGTTTATTATTGATTATAAAAAGAAAGTAAGAATGTAAATGAAAGAAATGACATTAAGATATTGGAAGTTATCGGTTGTTCCATCATGAACTTGGTGCAATATTTGGATAATGAGATACAGAGAAAGTAATTGTATTTTACTTGCATTTATATTTGAAAGATGAAAATAATATCGTTTATTTTTCATTTGTTTACTCTGAAATATCGTGATTTTATAGTATTCAGTTTAGATATTCCTTTTAAATTTATAATCAACCCGAAAGGTTAAGGCATTGGGAATTATGGATTTCAACAGTGGATTGTTTCATATGATCAGATTTCATTGTGAGCGTCTTTTTTTCAACCCCTATCAAATACATTCATTTTGTTAAAGGCAATGTTTGCAGTACCACGCTAAAATGTACGATGAAATTCGGTATTTACATACCAGATTTAAAATCTTGTGAAAAACTACCGGTTCTTATGTACCTTTCAGGTCAGTCATCCTAATAAGATTAAGATATGAGGTGTGTGCGTGTGTGTGTGTGTGTAGTAATCGTTAGTTCTGTAAGTTGAATAGTAAGAAAATAGTACTTTTAGAACAATCACTTTTTTAAACCTGTATAGCATTTTGTTGCCCTGACAGATTGGAAAATTTAGTTCAGGTGAAGCTTAAATTAGGAGGGAAACAAATTTAGTTATGATTAAGGCTCTGGAATTTGTTGCGATGATGAGGTTAAGTTGAAGTAATTGCAAGTAGAAAAAGGACTGCTGAAAGTTTTGTTTCTTCGGTAAATAAAGTTATTCCGTCTTCCTGGCAGGTAATTTGCTTTTTAATATCAGTTCATCTCAAAAAACATAAAGTTTTTCAGGCCTCACATGTACCGAAGCAAATTTTATCGAGAAAAGTGGCTTTCAGCGTGCTGCAGCAGCACACAGAATGGTAGTTTTAAATGCAGATACCAGTCCGAGAGGTGTAGACATTCCCGGTGATTCGGATTGTTGGGATTTCGGCAAAGGTTTTTCTATCTTTTTTCTTTTTCCCTTTAAAATATTGGCTCGAATATTGTAGCCATCTGCAGTTTATTTACGCGGTTGCAGTAACAATCAATAGTAAATAATAAATTAGTTCTCGTTTTCGAAAAAATTTCCGGTCACAGCAAATCTAGTTGTTCTTTCCTAATTTCAAAAATTTCATAACTTGGTTGTCGAAATTGGAACTTTTTTTTTTTGAATCAAAGCATCAAAGTAATCCAAATTTTCTTCGCTTTTGGAAATTTGTTTCCAAGAGATAATACTATATAAACTCATCATTTTCTAGGTGCTGGATTTTACGTTGATGCAACGGAACCAAAATGGAGTGAGCATTACCGGATGTATACTTATATCACAGATGAATTACCTAACATAGTGCGATCGAATTTTGTCGAATGCGATCCGCATCGATGGGGAATAATGGGACATAGTATGGGCGGGCATGGCGCAATAGTAGTCGGTCTCAGAAATCCAGAAAAATTTTTAAGCATCTCGGCATTTGCTCCTATTTGCAACCCGATGAATTGCAAGTGGGGTAGGAAGGTTTGTTCTAAACATGAATAGTATTTGGTTGATAAGATATGTTAGTAATACATAAATATACAAATATTTAACGATTCATGTCATTGTAATAAAGGGAACAAAAATGTAGGAAGATTTAAGTTTTTAAATTTTTCGTAGTGCCAAAATTCCCAGAATTATATGGAACCATGAGAAAGGAATTGAAAAAAAGAATGGATTTATTATTGCATTTAAAATTGTTTTCTGAAAATTGCTATAAGATTTTTTAGTATATCGTATCTATCGGCTACATGAGTAGCGGCAGATACCTTTCAAATGTGGGAATAATTGGATTTTTTGTTTCCTTCTTTCCCAAGTTTTTCATGTCGTCGAAAACCTTTCTGTGTTTTTACTCGGAATTCCTGAAAATATAATCTTTAACTAATTGCACTGATTGTATAAGTGAACAATGATGGCAGTTCAATTCACTTGTAGGTGAACAATAATGGCAATTCACTTCATTTGTACTTTTTGGTACGTGATAATGATGTAAAGTAATAATGATGGTCTTATAGGCATTCCTTGGTTATCTCGGTCCTTTGGAAGAAAATTGGAAAGTTTATGATTCTCTGGAAGTAATCAAATGTTATGACGGAGAACCAAGAAAGATCTTGATCGATCAAGGTACAGCGGATAACTTTTTGGCCCAGGAACAGTTGCTACCACGAAAATTGGAAAACATCAACAATGATAAGGTATCCATTGACTCATTATCCCCATATTTTTTAAGGATATGCTTCTTGTCATTTGAAATCATCGTACCATACAATATCTACCACACCGAACGGTCAACCATCATTCAGCTCTACATCATCCAAGCAAAGCCGATCCACAAACTGGACAACAACAATATTCGACATAGAAAACCTCGACATAAGCCTTCTCGAAAGATGTGGACATGGCTTCAAATACGCAATACTAGGAAAAGAAACCTGTCCGACAACAACACATGAGCATTTGCAGTGTTATTTTCAATTTAATACTACAATACGATTCATAACCCTAAAAAATAACTTACCAAGAGGATCACATATAGAAAAAGCAAAAGGAACACCCTACCAAAACTTTCAATACTGCTCCAAAAAGGTGATTTCCAAGAATACGAAACAACACCTAACCAAACCAAAGAAAAAAGAAAAATATCAGAACTAATAACGAACTATTAACAAAATATAGGAAAAAAGAAATAACACTACAACAAATAGGAGAAGAAAATCCAGACTACCTCATGAAATACAAAAGAAAAATAATTGAATACGGACAAACATACATAATGGACAGAAAAGAAAAAACAGAACTATACTTAATAATAGGCGATCCTGGTATGGGAAAAACCACCTTTGCAACAAAATTAAACAACGATTACTTTATAAAAACAAGCAATATGGAAAAATGGTGGGACGGCTACCAACAACAAGAATTAGTCATAATCGACTTCTACGGTTGGATATCTCCAAATGAAATTATGAATCTGGCCGATTCAAAACCATACCAGGTTCAAACAAAAGGAGGCTTCCAAAAGTTCACCAGCAAAGCCATAGTAATAACAAGCAACAAATATCCCGGAAACTGGTGGCGACCGAAGTAACATCGAAATTCGACATGCGAGCATTCGAC